GGGATGTCAGGTGTCTTAAGTAACAGCTTACCTGTGGGGTCGTTCATATTCTCTATGACCCAGCAGCAATGTGTTTTAAATGTCCACGGACCAAGAAAACAAAAATGTAAGAAGCTTTTCTGCATTACTAATGTATTCAAGTGACACTTTACTGTGTGGCCAGCAGTAGCAGCATCACGCACACGAGGAGTTGGAACACAGGCAGGTGTCTTTACCTGTGTTGGGAATCTTGTCCATCTCTGATGCTCATGAGTTCCCAGGGGGCCATCAAGTAACCCCACGCACCATGTTTGCACTGGGGAGTGCCTAGCCATGGCCTATTTCGCATTGAACAGTTGTGACACCTGTGTACCCCTGGAGGGCCCCAGTGGGACCTGCCCAGGATTTTCTGTAAAAGCAGATTCTCAGGACATTAAGAACTTCCAGTGTGCTTGCTAGCTTCCCACTCTGGGGAAAACAGACCAGGTGTCTGTGCTCCTGATGCTGACCCGAGCGACCTAGTGAACAGATGTGACCTGCTTTGCTAATCCTAAGGTCACAGTTCTGTGAAGACTGAGCATCAGGGACAGAAATTAAACTGGTCTATGACTGGAGAAGACCCAGAGATAGCCTGTGGCTTGGGCTGGGTTCAGAGAAGGGGGCATATCTGTGGGGACCCCAGTTTGTGTCTGGACCCATTCAGCCTTTCTGCATGGAGTGCAGAGGGGAGGTCCCCCAAGACATGTCTGCATGACCACCTGTCAGGATCAGCCAAACCTGGACACTCTGAAACTATAAGGCCCGCATGCAGAGTGCAGAGGGAGCTGTTGGCCAGGTGGGAGGCCAGGAGCTAAGGCCCTGGTGGTGTCGGCAGCAAGCAGGGGAGTGGGTACTGAGCATGTGGTGGGAGGAGCCTTGCGGTGACTGAGCTGTGTGAGACAGGAGTCCATCTGCACTCCTAGGCGAAGGCCAGAAGCAGGGTAGGCCAGCTCCGTTGGCTCTGGGCAAGCTGCCCATCTTGTTTCAGATGCTCACAATGGCCCTGATGGGCTTTGGGCAAACCAGAGGCACAGAGGCTCTGGGGACTGATCCACACTGAGCAGAATGGAAGGTGCTGCTGCCTGGCTAGGAAAGGGCAGCAGTCAATGGAAAAGAGCTCATGATATCAACTGGTCAGAACCGGACTTTATATTCTTACTCTCATTGCAGAATAGCAATTCTAATCAGAAAAATCAAGTGCAGTTCACTGTAGAAGGAAATACACACAACACATATTTAATGTTGGTCCTTCTCTCTCTCTCTCTCTCTCTCTCTCTCTCTCTCACACACACACACACACTGAGGCCCAGTCATGGAGGTCCAGGAATGGCAGGCTGGAAAGCAGTGGTTCGTCACCCCGTGACCCTTGTTAGGTTCCTATGACAAATCGCATACAAATCCCCAAGTTTCACATGTGCATTTGCAAGAACTGCTTTCCAGCAGCCATCCCCCAGATGAATTTCAGAGTCATCACATTTTGATTTTCACAAATTAAATGTGGTTTCCGGCTGGGGTTAGCAAGAAGTCTGATTTCACTTTCTCTTCCTTTGCGCAAGCAGCCAGAAGTTGCCAGGCCAGATGTCCCTAGGTCTGCCCACAGATCACCTGGCATGGATGAGGCCGCTGTTGGGAATGCCCACTGTTTTTCTGGAACAGAGTTATATTGCACACTCAGCAGTGATGGTGTCTTTGAGCTCCTCACCATTTTCCATCACTCTGACTATTGCTGTTGAGTTAAAAACAAGTGTCCATGTGAGTTCCTGGTGATGACTTCAGGTTTTTGTGACTTTTCACCCAGCCAAGGGTACAGTTTGTTGCACTTTTGTCCCTGGTCTGACTGCATCCGATGCCATTGTGTTTTGTGGTGCTAACCCATATCACCTAGGCCACTATGCCGGAGCAGCTGACCCCTCCTGGCACACAGCTCAGACATGAGTGCCACCTGCTTGATGCCAGAGTTCTTTCACTCTGGAAGTTGGGAGAGGGGATGGGTTGTGGAATCTTGACTCCGCACAGTCAGCCTGCTTCGCATCTAAGAAATGATGTTCTCAGTGGTGCATGCTTCTGCCAGAACTCAGCAACTGTCCATGGCTGGGCTGTGTCTGTGCCTCAGAGGCAGATTGGAAGGCCAAAGGAGACCAGGGACACTGGAGAGTTTCTGGTCTTCATGGAGAAGCAGGGACAGAAGGTCCAGGTGAGAATGCACAACCTCAGGGTTACAACAAGGAAATGCCCGCAGGTCACACCCAAGCATGGCCCCATTATTCTCAAAAAGCAAGGTCGTGTACTTTTAAAAGATGTCACTGTCATAAACTTAAAGGCTATAAACATGCGGCAGATGCTGGACCGAATGGGGAAATGCTCCAAAGGACATCATGAGGGCACCTGGCAGTTTGATAGCAGATTAGATAAAAGCACCCCCAAAGCAGAGGGAGGAAACTCATCATTACCGGGGTTATGTGAGACCTTTGCCCTGAGAGCCACGATATAACGTAATTCACCTTGCAAATAGTTCAGAAAAGAAAATTAGGTATGTGTGTGTGGAAAAAAGTCAGCACATAAAGGCAAAAGTACTTCCTTATTACTTGCCGTGGAATGAAGAGAGAAAAGTACAGATTTGGTTCTCATCTGGGTTTTGTTGATAAAGTAAACCCAGAAGTGACAGGTGTCTTTCCAACATAGGCACCTCTCAGCAAGGAGGGTTTTTTTTTTAATCAGGATGCTGTGCTCCAGAGGCCACATCCTCCACACAGCTGATTGATGCCAACCTGGACACACACTCTGCCACCCCCCGAGTAGTTGATAGCAGAGTGAGGCTTAGTAACATTGAGATGCTGGCATCTGGTCAGTGGAGTTGTGTTCACACACCTGAGTGAGAAGGGCAGGGAGGGAGGAGAGGAGAGGACTCCAATAATAAGTAAATGAGGCTCAATATCATTAATAGATAGATCTGGGTCAAGATTATACATGGGCGTTTTCTGTACTCCTTTATGGTTTTTATTTGTTTCCTGCACATGTGTTGCTATCCTGGTGATGAGGACTGAGGAGGGGCGAAGAAGGAGCTGCCCAGCCCTTGCTATGTAACCTGAGTTAGCACAGAACCGAGTCAGCATCCTGGGCTGGCAGTCATCATAACACTTGCTTTGTTGGCATAAGTGAGCAAGTCTCAGCCGTGAAACACTAGATTACTTACTATGTACAAATCCAGGTGAATGTGAAGGAGTGGTTCTTTGCTCACCTGGAGTACGAGGGGCAGTGAAGCACAGGGTTGGGGCTGACAAGCTCAGGTGCGGGATTAGCAAGTGTTTTTCCAGAGCAGAATGCAATCAGGCACCATCCTTCCATCAGGGACTCCCGAGAGCTGTGTCTGACCAGCTGTTGACCCAGGAGAACCTTGACCTCAGGTCTGTGTGGATGGTAGATATTGGGCACCCTGGCAACCCTGGCTGACGCATTGGGACAGTGACATCTGACCTGTCTATGGCAACATCTCACAGATAACCCAGTGGGTGGTGTCACAGTGAGCTTGGGACAGAATGGGGGGAGGGGCCAGTGACCTTCACCAGGCTTTCCAAGGCTGCATCATCTGCCCAAACTCAGCTCGATGGGCATCTCTTGGGTCTTCATCACAAAAATGTGGGTCAGGGCCCCGAAGGGACTGCCAACCTGCCAGCTTCCCATGAGGAAGAAGTGGGCATGGCCTCATCTGCTATCCATGCTGTGATTGTTTGCATTGAATGATGTGGACATCCCTTCCCAGCCCCCCACGTGCATGGAAAGGGTTGGTTGAATTTGTGCCAGGCACACAGGAGGCTCTCTAGAGCCCGCCCTGCTCCTGACACCTGTGAAAGTACAGGTTGCACTTTGCCCTGAGCCCCTGGTTTGTTCTGAGCATTGAGGAAACAGAAGGTTTGATGCTGCCCTTTCCTGTGACAGAGACCTGGAAGCTCAACCATGGCAGGGACGCAACGTGCCTGCTGGTGGTGGGTGGAAAGCATTGGCACTCTGCATACAGGAAATTAAACCTGGGGGCCAGAGGTTTGTGGGCATCTTGCCCATCCATGCCCTGTTGGTTCCTAGAGAAGGAAAAGTTGAAAACAAGCTTTCCTTTGCCAACACCAGGACTGGACGGTCTCTCTGGTCACAAGTCATAGCAATGGAACAGGGACAGATGGCAACAGAGGAGAGGAGCCACAGCCGAGAAACAGAGTGGCAGGGCAGGGTTGAGTGGGAAAGAGAAAGTCTCTCCAGGCTCCATGCACCTGCAGAGGAAGCCGCAGACACACATCTGTTAGTATAGACTCCTGAGGTCAGACAAGGAGTCCCTGGGGTCCCTGGACTCTGGGAATGGGGCTTCATTGCAGCTGTGTGGGACACAGCCTGGCCAGGGCCAAGGTGATGCCATGGAGACACACTCAGCTATCCAGCCCAACCCTTGCTGTCAGGGATCGTGACCCATCCCTGAGTGACAGAGGCCCTGGCTGGCACTCTGACCTGTAGAGGTCAGAAAGTTTGTGACAGAGCTAAGCTCTGTGGCCGGGATACTGTGGCTTTGGATACATCATGCTTTGGATCACATAATGCAGAGGTGTGTGGGTACGTACACACACACACACACACACAGAGCCGTGGGACTCTGCAGCCTCTGTTTCCAGAAAGTACTCAGTGTACCTGTCACATTAATCACAGGCATTCTACAGGCTTATCAGCCTAGAAAGACATAGTGATGCTTGACCAGAAAGCCGTGACAGTCCCCAGACAATAAGGCTTTGCCGCCTGGCTGGGATTGGTTCCAATCTGGCTGTATGTGTTGATCAGGGCTCCGCGTTAGGCTTTCAGAATCTGGATTTGAGCTGTCGGTGTGGTCAGAAGGGTTGGTGAAAACCAAGGGGCTCACAGGTGGTCCTGCAAACGGCCAGAGCCTGGGTGTGACTGTTGCTTACCACCATGTGACGTGCTGACTTCTGCTCCTGTCTTTGCAGCCACTCTCAGTGTGAGGTCCAGGGCAGTGGCCCCTGGGGAGCAGCCGGCCTACCAGGGCCCTGTGCACTGCATCGCCACCGTCGTGCGTACTGAGGGCCTGGCGGGGCTCTACCGGGGGTCCAGCGCCATGCTGCTCAGGGACGTCCCTGGCTACTGCTTCTACTTTGTCCCTTACGTGTTCCTGAGTGAGTGGATCTCGCCTGAGCCCCATGCGAACCTCAGTCCTTATGCCGTGTGGCTGGCGGGTGGCATGGCAGGTAAGGACAGCAGTGGCTGAGTGCCATCCCTGAGCCATGTCAGCCCCGAGAAGAGGGTGGGGATCCACAAACCACACATCCAGCTTTGCAGGGAAGGACTGGAATCAGGGATGGCCCCCTCTGCTTTATCGAGGGACTGGCCTCCCCAATACCCCTGGGTCCCAAAGGCCCTGTCGGCTTTCAGGCCCTGGCCCTCAGGCATTCCTGAGCTTTGAGAAGGAAATTGGTCCTCACAGCCCACCTGTCCCAAATACTGTCAGGGTGCCATGAGCTTTTCTAACTTGAGGCTTTCGTCTACTCCTCAAGCAAGGCATCCGTCTCTCCATGTTGTAGATAAGAAGACTTGGGCTCAGAGATAATGAACAACCAACTCAAGGGCACACAGCCAAAGCAGACAGTGTCATGGAGCCAGGAAGATCCAAGTTCAAGTCCCCACTTCCTCACTTGCAAACGTGGACATTTTGCCAAATTATTCCAGTTCCCTGGACACAGAGGGCAGCATCCTGGCATTCTCAGCCCCACCCTCAGGCTGATAAGGAGGTTCCATGACCCTCCAAGGTCCTTTTCTGCTTCCCTCCCCTCACTGCTGGGCCTTGGGACTTGCTGTGTCCACTGCTGGGATTCAGCATGGTGCAGGTTACCCGAGGCCTTCAGATGACCTTTGTCGGGGAGAGGGAAGGAAGCAAGGTGGACTGAAGTGGGATCAAGAGAGAAGGGGCAAAAGAAATGGGAGAGACCAGGTAGACGCAGGCCTCCAGAGGGATGTGGCTGTGTTGTCATGGAGCACAGAGAAGTGAGGCCACAGCCAGGGGCCACATGCAGACCCAGCAAGAAGGCTGTTGCTGTGGACAGCTGGCCCTGCAGTGTGAATGACACTGATGGAAAAGACCCAGCAGATGGAAAAGAATCATGGTGGCGGCAGCTGCTGCTCTTCCTCCTCCTGCCCCAGCTCTGCTCTAAACTGCAAGCAGACACGCAGCTCAGCCCATGCCAAGCCACCTGATGCAGCAGGCCCTTCACATCTGGCTGAGGCCTGTCCTGACCAAGCTCGGCCTCCCTGATCCCTGGTCTGAGGGACAGTGCACCAAGGCAGCCCCTGGTGAGCCTCCAGAGAGGCCATGCTGGGTCCATGGGGCCTGAGGCAGGGATGGGCAGAGGGCCCAGGGCAGGCCAATAACCCTGTGGGAGCAGCACTGAGCCGACCTTGCAAGCGGCTGCCCTGGACTCTGCCGTCCATTTGTTTCTCTCCCTGCAACCAACATGTGCTCATGTCCGTATTTGTGTAGTAACCCAGATTTGCTGTCCCCAGATCTTTAACTGCCGCAAAAGTGCTCACACAGGAGCATCTCACCTTGTTCTTGGAAGACACCGTGGTGACATACAGGCCTGAGGCCTCAATCCCTCATATTTGGAGAAGAGATTTTGAATGAACAACCCTGTCCCTGCCCTTTTTCTACAATCCCCATGGTGGCCTTCCTTGTGGCATGGCAGATCCACAAGGTGTTTGCTCAGCTTCTCCACGCTGAGGGTCAGCGCTGCCTCGGGGAGTCACGGCCTCTTGCCCTCCCGGGCTTCCCCCCTGCTGCCCACCAAGGTGCCCAAAGGATGAAGGCTGGAGCTGTCTTCCCAGCAACAGCTGCTGAGGAGGTGCCCGTTACTGAGCACACCCGGGACATGGCCAAAGGTGCGGGCCTTCAGCGCCTCCTTCCTGCACTCCTTGCAGCACCTACAGGGAAACAGACACCTGGGGCCCCTGTCACAGATGGGGGTACACAGTGAGAGGGCTGACACGCTGGACCCCAATCTGCAGACCCAGACCCTGAGTTCTGTCAACATCCCCAGCAGCAGTCAGGAGCCGTCCCAATACCCATTTGTCTCTCCGTGTCTTTGCAGGAGCCATTTCTTGGGGGACAGCAACTCCCATGGACGTCGTGAAAAGTCGACTCCAAGCTGACGGCGTTCATTTCAACAAGTACAAAGGTGTCCTGGACTGCATCTGTCAGAGTTACCAGCAGGAGGGACTGAGAGTAAGCAGCACGCCATGACTGTCACGCAGGGTCCCTGGGGGTCCCTGGGGGTCCCTGGGAGAGGGCATGCCGTGGGGGGCTGGGGGAGCATGGGTTGGAGGAATCAGGAGTCTGATGGTGCATTGCCTGAGGCCCTGCATCTGTGCTCTCTTGTCCAATAGGATGTGCCACCGCCTCCTCCACCCACCAGGGGTGAGAGAAGACTGGGTACCTTCCATTGGCCAACACCCCGGCATGAGGCCCGGCTGGGACCTTGGCACACGTCCATCTGTGCTCACAGTTGCCCTCCCCAAGGCAGGACAGGCCACCTTTCCTCATTCATCTCTGGGTATCACATTCCTGTCCCTCTTCTTAGGAGGACATCCCAGAGCCAATGTGCAGGCTGCCCGTTCCTCTGCTACCTCCCATCTGCTGCTCCAGCCCACTGCCCCTGCTTTCTGCTCTCCCTCCCACCCAGGCCAGACTGTGTCACCTGTGGGTGCTGCAGCTATGGCGCCTCCAGCCTGCTGTCCCCTCCCAGCTGCCCCAGAGCTCACCCTTGGCACATAACCCTGCCTGTTGCTTAATGGTCCTGGACACAGACCAGGTGTCCACCTCCAGTGTCTGAAACTGCAAGCAGTTCATCAGCCAGCAGGGGGTGTGCCACACTGCCTCTGCCTACCACAGCCCTTAGAGTCAGCCAGCTTGGGCTCAGGGTCAGGCCTGTCAGCTGCAGACTCATAGGTGGGTAGCTTCCCTACCCTGGGTCTTGGTTTCTCTGAGGACAACCATACCTGTCGTGTCGGACAGGGGATTTGTGGATAAATCAAAAAGGAAAGGCCAAACACCTAGCTTGGCTTCTTAGAATGTGTGATGTTTCAGAGTGGGATACTGTGTTTCATCTGAGCAGTGTTACCCATTTCCCAGAGTATTTCTCTGTCCTGATCCCAAAGATGTGTACACAGGCAAAGCCCCACTGCCCTTACTTCCTCCTGTAAAACATGACATTCTAGAAGGAGCTGGAGCCAGGGGACCAGCTCCCTGTCCTGAAAGGGACACCAACTCGGAAGCCGGTGTTAAGGCAAGGGCAGCAGGCGGCTGGCTGAGCCATGTCACGGCCATGTGTCTCAGGATTCATTTTTTAATTATGCTACTAACAAGCTGAGAAACAGATGATGGCTGGGCACAGGAAGCCCCCGGGTCACAAGGAGAGAATGTCCTTTTCCTGCCTCGGGGCCCCAACCCAGCCTGCAGGTAGTGACCCGTGAGCTCTTTGTGACATGGCCTGGAAATATTCATAGCACCCACAAGTGTTCCCTGTACTTCAAAAGTGTACGGACAATGCACGCTTTCTTCTCATTCAGCTTTTCTTCAAAAAAACAAAATTATGTATTTGATAGACAGGATGTTAGAAACAGAAGAAATTGAAATAGAGAAAGGTCTTCCATCTGTTGGCTCTCTCCCCAAACGGCCATGATGGCTGGCACTGGGCCACACCAAAGCCAGGACTTTCTTCGAGGTCTCCAACTTGGGTGCAGGGGTCCAAGGTCTTGGGTCATCCTCCACAGCTTTCTCATGCACATAAACAGGGAGCTAGATCAGAAGTAGAGTAGCCAGGACTCGGACCAGTGCCCGTATGGGGCGTCCAGTATTGTAGATAGGAGCTTAACCTGCTTCATCACAGTGCCAGCCTCCCTCTCAGGTTTTCCATAAACTTTGAAGCATTCTCAGTGCTCATGTGTGCCTGTATACGTGAGCACATTTGTGTGTTAGAGTGTTCATGCAGGAACAGACAGTGATGGGAAGGGGAACCCTACGTGATCCCCGACAGTCGGTGCGTCTGAGTGGTGGGGGCGGCGGGGGAGTGGAGGGGCTTTTGGTAGCCCCAGGGACACCTGTGGTTCCTACCAGCTGGCTCAGTGGTGCTTCTCTTCCCAAAGCCCTTCCACTGAGGTTGGGCACAAAGCCCCCATGTCGCCCGCTGTTCATGACCCCTTGGGATAAACAAGTAGATGGGCCAGCCACCGTTGCCCTCAGCAGCTCACGGAGGATTTCCCCACAGCATCCTTGATGCTGGGGAATGCAGTGGTTCTGTGGGTGTCCCCCATTGACAATGTGGGGTCTCTGTCTGCAGAAGCTCCTCCCACCACCTTGGCTCAGCAGGGGGCAGCAGAGGTGGCCAGTGACTGGGTGCCCTGGACCAAACCCGCCCTCCCATCCCAATCCAGGTGTTTTTCCGTGGCATCACTGTGAATGCTGTGCGCGGGTTCCCCACCAGTGCGGCCATGTTCCTTGGCTACGAGCTCTCGCTGCAGGCCCTCCGCGGGGACCACGCTGTGACCAGCCCGTGAGCACCAGGTCAGTGCACTGTCCTGCCTTTCCTTTGCAAAACGTGTTCCTCATTCAGTGTGTACCTGCAGCGGCTCAGGGGGGCCGGAGTCCCCCCAACCCCATTGGCTGTGTTCCTCAGTCACTGCTCACCTGACCCAGCTGACTCGCCTGTCCCTTTCCTGATCTTAGTCTCATGGAGTGGCCTCCTCCAGGCTGCCTGCCTGATTTCTCAGCTGGACGTGACAACCCGTCTAGCTCCCAGTCAGAGGAAAGGTCCCAGCTGGGCTATGGCTTTGTCTACCCCTGCTCCTTGAGTGGGGCGTGGCATCCAAACAGCCACACAGCAGCCTTATAGGGTAGGATCCATCTGCCTCAGCCTCCCCCACTTCCTCTTGCTTTCTTTTCCATGGATCCAAACCTGTAGAGCACAGAAACCATTTTTTTGTATCTACCTTAATCATGGTCATGTCTCCCAGGATGCACTGGGCGACTTCCTTGCTGCCTGCCCTGGGGCAGGTAGGGGTGCATGGGGCTGGGGCAGGGATGATGCCAGCCCGTGATGAGCCCAAGAAAGCCCTGGAAGCCACCTGAAATAAAGTGCACCAGGTCTTCGCTAACATGCTGCCACAACCTGCCTCGCTTGGCCCTTTCTGTGAAAGAAGAGCAGCCCCATGGTTTGCATCATTCAGCGTCATGGACAGCTGGAGAGTCGCTGGACAGGCCATGTCCCAGCCAGGACAGGGGCTAGTGTCAGCTCTCTCAGCTGCCAGCCACTCTTCCCATTGGACAGATAAAAAACCACTTCAAAAGTGGTTTGTTTATGTGTTTGTAAGGCAGAGTTACAAGGAGAGAGAGAGAGAGAAGTGAGGGATTTTCCATCTGCTGGTTCCCTCTCCAAATGGCCACAACTGCTGAGGTCATACCAGGCTGAAACCAGGAACCTGGAGCTCTGTCCTGGTGTCCCACTGGGGTGGCAGGGTTCTAAGTACCCGGGCCATCTTCTGCTGCCTTCCCAGCTGTGTCAGCAGGGAGCCGGATGAGAAGTGGAGCGGTCAGGACTGGATTCTGGTGTCACTGTGGCAGCTTAGCCCACTGCAGCACACTGCTGGCTCCAGATAAAAGCAACTTGGAAAAAAATTCTTCTGAAAAGTTGATGGAAAGTGGAATTAAAAGATACAACTATTTTTCCAGGAAAAGAAAAAAAAAAAAAGCATTGCAAAGTCCCTGCATGTGAGGGGTTTTCAAAAAAGTTCATGGAAAAAGCATGATTAAAAGACTATGTAGGAATTGCAAAAGTCTTTGCACCAAAATATCTTCCAGCTCTGCTTTCTCAAAAATTTGCAGAAACATCCTCATATGATAAAACCAATGCTTTTTTTTTTTTTTTTACCATAGAAAAAGTAATACAAATACTCAGAGAGGACCTCATCGCTGGCCTTACTGTTCCCAGGATTTTCCACCCATGTGCTGGATGGGACAAAGCCCTGTGCTTTATCCCTTCTCCCTTCCTACCTCCTCCTGCCACTTGCCCAGGACAGGACACACAGACCTCTGCTCCCGCCACCCCGCTCCGAACCCAGACCTCCCAGGCCTCTGTGCAAGTCCTGGGCTCTCACTGACCTCTGAGATTTGGGGCAGTGACATCCGCCCTCCGCATTGTGGGAACCGGGGCCTTTCTCAGCGTCTGGACCAAGGGCAGAGGGCCAGCATCAGCTGAGGTGCCCCCTCAGGAGTGGGGTCCCAGCTACAGCCGCAGCAGCCTTGAGGTGGTAGGAGACACTGGTTTCTTCAGAGGTACAGACTGCTTCCTACAGCTACGCTCACAGCCTGATGTCCTGGACTGCATACAGCAAGGACCCAAGGACAACCAAGAACCTGGCATCTCCACATCAGGCTTTGGTGGGAGCAGTCAGGACCCCCACCAGCTCACCCTCAGGATGATTCGGTGCCCTCCTGTGACCCTCGGGATCTGCTGTCCCCCGCTCAGGCATTTTCATCTTTCCCTTTTTGTTCTAGGGCTGGTGTCGCCTGACCAGGGCCTCATTCCACAACAGCTCAATGCCTCAGAAGCTGTGGAGGGAAAGAGGGGCTCCCCTGCGCTGGGCTCTGCCAGCTGTGTGGTTTCGGGGTCAGCTTCCCCACCATTACAAACACTCCACTGGCAGGCCCTGAGCTTGAAAGGGAGCGTGGGACCACGGTTAGTGTCTGGCTCTGCTCTGGATAACACGGAGTGGAAGCCAGAATAAAACAGACGTTGCGTGCCTGCCAGCTGTGCACTCACTGAGGCTGGCTCCCAGTTTCCCAGTAAAGACACTGAGCTCCTCTCCGGGTTGTCTGTGAATCAGGTGCCCATGCCTGGCCTCCCAGGAGGCAGCCAGCAGCCCTTGGCCATGTCTGTGTGAGCTCTGGAAGAGAAAGCCACAGCACATGCAGAGGAGGGGGCCACCCTGGGCTGCAGTCCCTGTTCTGGCTCCCTGGTACCTGAGGTTACATGGACCAGCGCGGGGCTGCAGGGGACCTTAGCAGCCCACCCACCACAGAACAACGGGAGAGGTGTCTGCTCCTTCCTGTGCTTTATTGCCACGTCACAACAAAGCAAAACCAAAGAGTTGGCCCACAGGCTGCTCTGGAGCCTGTTCATTACTTAGAATTGTGTGGTTCTGGGCCCGGCGGCGTGGTCTAGCGGCTAAAGTCCTCGCCTTGAACCTGGGATCCCATATGGGCACTGGTTCTAATCCCGGCAGCTCGCTGGGATCCCATATGGGCACTGGTTCTAATCCCGGCAGCTCCACTTCCCATTCAGCTCCCTGCTTGTGACCTGGGAAAGCAGTCGAGGACAGCCCAAAGCTTTGGGACCCTGCACCCGCGTGGGAGACCCAGCCGTTGCGCTCACTTGGGGAGTGAATCATCGGACAGATCTTCCTCTCTGTCTCTCCTCTTTGTATATCTGACTTTGTAATAAAAATAAATTAATTTAAAGAAAAAAGAAAGAATTGTGTGGTTCTCTCTGAAGCAACACAGGGCTGGCAGGCCTGACATCTGTCCAGAGTCCATGTCCACCACAGGCATCCTGGTGACCCCCAAAGCCCTTTCCTGCCAGGCTGAATGGAACTTCAGAATCCTGGACAAGGTGCTCTGGGCAGCCACTGCCAGCCAGTCTGGACTGGCCCACTAGATTCCAGTGGTTGCCATTACTGGCTTCAGTCCCGTGCAGGGAAGTGGCATCCAGCTCTTGTTTTCCCTTCTTCCCTGGGTGTGGTCTCTCCACTGCCCCCTGTCTGTCTTGGAGACACCCTGGCCCTCACAGACCCCATGCCACGACCAAGCCCTGCACTGGCCTCCCAGTGCTGTAGGTGTCCCATTGTCACCAGCTGGAGCCCTTCCCTCTGACAGATGATTCTGCTCCCATCCCTCTCCTCTGCAGCCCCTGCTGGCACTCAGTCTCCTGGGCATCACTGCAGCCCTAAACTCTGCAGCCCCCTCACCTAGTAGTGGCACATAGCTTGTTCTCTGCTGGGCAGGTGCTGGACTTCGGGGGTGGGAGGCAGCCCCAAGGCTCCAGCAGTGCCTCTCCGCAGCTGTGTCAGAGGGGCCTGTGAGCAGGAGTCCACCCTGCCTGCCCACCCCAGCATCACGGGGCCTAGGACGGCCCTGTGTTTGTTGCTGGCATCTGCTTCACCCCTAGGTAGACCAGGAGTCTCTGCTGTCACATGATCTTAAGCCTGTTTAACTAGACCAAGCCCTGGTGCTGTCCCGTGCTGCCCAGTGTGGGAGTGAGCTTGTGCTTAAAAGGACAGGCAGTCTTCTGGACACTCCTGGTGAGGATGAGATCAACAACCCCCTGAGCAGGTGTCTGAGCCCGCGCGTGGTTCTGCTGTTCCACTTCCAATCCAGCTCCCTTCTATTGCTTTAGGAAAGCAATGGGAGAGGGCCCAAGGCCTTGGGCTCCTGCACCCATGTAGGAGACCTTGATGGAATGCCAGGCTCCTAGCTTCAGCCTGGGCTGGCCCAGCCCTGGCTTTTGTAGCCTTTTGGGGAATGAACCAGCAGATGGAAGATCTGTCTCTCTACCTCTCATTAACTCTGCCTTTCAAATAAATAAAATCTTTCTTAAATTGCATCTTCTGCGCCACTACCTACCCTCCTTGTCCTCGGTTGGTTTACTTCAGAGTTATTTTTTAATTGACTGCGGTGTCACCAGACAGTGATTTCCACAAGGTCAGAGCCGCCTAACTGCTGGATTCCCAGGAGTGACAGTGGCATCTGACAGGTGCTGGCTAGCCACACGCCTGCCCTGGCCCCAGGGTTCCCTGGGCTTGCTTGCAGCCTGGACCCCTCCTCTAGAACAGGGGCTCATCTCAAGGCCTGGATGTTAAAACCCATGGCTCCCCTGTTTCATTTCCTCCCACCCCACTGCAGCTTGCCATGCCTGTGGTGGCCACTGCAGTCCTGGCTCCTTCCTGCCCATGTCCACCTGCAGAGCAAGCGCTGCAGCCACCACAGGCAACACTTGGAATGTAGGCTGTGGCTGCCTCAGCTTTGGGGATAAGAGCCCATCCTTTTGCAGGGCTGGGTGCTGGGTTTCCCACCCTGGAGCTCACAGACAGGGGGACCCAACCTGCAGCAATCTCTCCTGCTAGCCACATACCCATCCCCCAACCCCGGGGAGGGTCAGCCGGCCATGCAGCTCCCCAGAGAAGGAGCCAATAGCTCCTCCATAACACGCCCCGTGGTATGTGGCATCAGTGTGACTCCCCCGGGGAGCCCACCCTATGGAAGCTGGAATCAGCTACTGTCAATCTCTGAGGCTGAGGACAGAACCCAGGTCAGGCCGTGGTGTGACCGCCTGTGTCCCGCGAATGGGACCTTGTGGCTTGGCCAGTTCACCTCACCGGGGGTGATTCCGAGGGTGCCACTGACCAACCCATTGCAGTGTGGCACGCAGCAGGACCCTCTTAAAACCTGTTGTGGTCTCTGAGGACATCTGCTCACCCGTCAACACTCAGCAGCCATGGACATTCATTCACTCCGGGACCATCACCCAGTCACTGAGGCATCCTCTGTGAAACGTGGGAAGCAAAGCCACTGCACATTCAGATGCAACACACACTGGCACACCACCGCAACCCCTTAGTCAGCGCCGCTGCCTGGGAGGCTGATACCGTGCTCCTTTCTCAATGTAGCGTCTGGCTTATGAGCTGTGGAGAGCAGTTGGAATCTCATAGCAGCATCTGCTGTGAATTGATGTGATGTCATTCACCATGTAATCTTTGAGAAACACCGCATGCTTCCGGAGAAAAATCCCAGGGAACAAGTATGTCAGTGGTCTAAGAATGCATCTGCTTGCTGTGCCAGTTAGGAACCCCACAGGCTGCTGTACTCAATAATCGCCACTAGATGGCAGCATAGATCAACTAAAGCTGCAGGAACCAGTACCTGGCAGCAGCGGACTCCAGCCCTTAAGCAGGCACAGACTGTAACTTTCTTGGGCCTCCGTTTCCTTGTTTGGGTGGTAGGAATAATTGCATCTGGTTGTTACATAAATATCTGGAGCAAGGAAGAGGTGGTGACTTAGGATGGGACTCGGCACACAGCAAAACCCTCAGCAAATGCTACCTCTCTCATCTCTTCTGGATGAGCGTCAGCTCTTCAGGCAAGGACAGTGCCCATCAGGCCTGCTGGGGGCTGCCTGCCTGGGCCAGTCTGTGGGTTCCACACGGTTACAGAGCGAAAGAGGGAGAGAACTCCCACATCCATGTCGTGCAGGTTGCAGGTACCCCCAGGCGCTGACTCCCTGTCCTATGATCTCCATCCCTTCTAGGACACCCCCTACTGCTTCATTCTCTGGGAAGCAGGCAGGTCAGCAGGCGGAGGCCACATCAGGGTCTGTGTCACCGACACCCATCATGGACCAAGGGAACACCAGGGCAGGCAGGGGAGAGGGTTGTTGTCACGCCACAGCCAGTTGCTCTCTGATGCATCTGCAGGGCCTCCAAGAGTCTCCTGAGAAAACGGTGTTAGGAGCAGCAGTAGAGGACCAAGCTGTGGCCACCCTCGCCGCCCCACGAAGCCGCGGGACTCCAGGGACTAAGCCCGTGAGACCACAAGCAAGTCACCCTTGAGCGGAGAGCTGTCTGCAGTGCAGGCGTCTGCAGTGCAGGCGTCTCCAGACGCGGCTTGATGTTGTGACCGAGGACAGACACTGTTCCTGCTGCTAGCCACTTCCTGTGGAATCCTCATGAAAAGACACAGGTACCACACACTGCACACCAGCAACGAGCCGCCACGAGGGTGAGTGGAGCTAATTCCAGCATCACCAGAGGCGTCCACTCTGCTGACACCTGCTATGCCACAGACCGCACCCCACCCCACCCCACCTCCCCCGCGCGGCTGTAGGTGGTGGGGACAGGGCTCCTCTGCCTGTCAGACCGCCTGAACGCAGCCAGGCCCTGGGGGGCGACCTAGGCCGGGGACAGGAAGCTGCAGGGTGGAGTCCTAAAGGAAGAGGTAGCCACAGCAACACCAGGCCAGCCAGGCAGCCTCAGCCAGTGCTCCTGCACTTGGTGTGCCAGCCAGGTCCTGCACTGGGGGTTCTCTGGAGGTTACCGGGGTGTCTAGATCTGTGTCCGGGGTCTCCCTGTGTCAGGCTCTAACCCTCATGGCCTGTGCACAGCGTGTCTCCCAGCTCGGCTGCCAGCACTGTGCTCTCTCCCGAGGCCTGCATTCTAGAGCAGTCTCCCAGCTCTGGAGCACAGCCTCTGCCCAGCCCCGAACTCCTGGGCAGCCCAGCAGCCCCAGGGCAGTGCTCCCTCAGCCGCAGCAATTCTGCCCCTTCCTCGGGGCATGACAGTCTTTGTTCTGGGCAGAGAAGGGTAAACCAGACCAGCTCATGTTTTGTTTTTTCCCTACTGTTTTTATTCCAAAATAAAGGGGGGAAAACATCATAAACAAATGATCACAGCTGACTTTGATTTGGAACAGCTTGCTTGGTTTTTAGGAACAGCTACACCCTAGGGAGCAGGCAGCTCCACAGCAATAAATAGAATAAATAGGGCTGCGATGTCCTTCACGGGCTGCCTCGTAGCCCTCGCCTCGCTGCTTGTTGCAGAGCACCCAGCAGTGTCCTCAGGAAGGCCAACATGTTGTCCTCCTTGGCTGGCTTGCAGGGCTGCTCACAGGAGAGACGCTGCAGGCAGAGAAATGGACATAGGATGACCACAGCAGCGTGGGGGACCCAGCGACAACCCCCACGCTCGGGAACCACAGTGACCACTGCCTGCTCCGGGAGTGGGGGGCTGGCAGGAGCAGGTGGGCAAGGAGGCCAGGCCTGTCGCCGCTGCCATGGGCAGCACAGGCTGTTGGCTGTGTGGCGGGGCCTCAGTGTCCACTCGTTCCATGTTAGGACACTTGTCAGGTGGCTCAGCAGCCCATCCTTGCAAATCTTTTGTGGAGCGCTTCAAAACCAAAAAATGCATCATGATCCTTTTTGGCTGTCCTTGCAAGCTCACAGTAGAGCGCGTTTTATTTATATTAGTGGGACTTGAAGCTCACAGAGACCCAAGTTCACATCTTCATCGTCACTCAGTAACTACAACAATGACCCAAAGTAGCAAGCCTCTCTAGGCACACGGAGGACTGGGGTGGGAGCTGACCCAGGGCAGCAGCTGCGGGCCCTTGCGGGTGACAAGCATCCACTCTCCACCCCTCCCCATCCCCTAGCAGCCATACCTATGTCTCAGTGAACCCAGGCCCCACACAGAGGCCAGCAGCCCGATCAGTTCTTGGGCTCCTTCAGCACCCCACAGGCTCCCAGGCCATGATGCTTGGTGGCCACTAGCCCCCCACACCCCGCAAGGACAGAGGCCACCTAGGGAGCCACTGATGGCAACCTGCAGATTGCTTGGCGCTGGAGAAGGACAAGTGGCCTATGGCAGCACCAAGGGTTTCCTTAAAAGCTGGAAAGCAGTGGACGTGTGGGCCAGATATCTCTGTAATCCTGTTACTTCTGCTTTCTAAGATGCCCTGAGCTACCCTCAGCTGCTGGCTCCAGTCCCTTCTTTCCAGCTCCAGCAGGGCTAGCGGTCAGAGCCAGCAGCCAGAGCACACTGCCCAGAACAGCCAACTCACCGGACACTTGGTCTTCAGGTGCACGACCGTTTTGTTCACCCGGTTGAAAATCTGCGAGAAGCCCGTGTGTGCCATGGAGTTGGCCGCCTGGGACAGTCCCTCCTGGAAGCATGGTGCGGAGCAGTTCTCCTGGCAAGAGGCATATCAGAAGAAACATGATGGCGGGCTTGGAGAGGGAGCTGCAGCTGGCAAGTTCAGTGACTGCCTTGGCCGGCGGGACCCAGGCTCACAGCGTTCGCAGGCAGGTCCCCTGCCGTCCAGGAAGCAGTGGCCACTTCCAGGCAGGGACCTCTGTTCCCGCGTGATCCCGCTGGAGAACCTGAGCAAGGGCCTGTCTGGAGGCTGCTCTCTCGGGTATGAGGTCTCACCTTGGTTGCAGTGAGAAGTTCCGGGGTACAGGGGAGGGGAAGGGAGACAGGAAGGGAGGGAGAGAGCGCACAGCGCTGCCCCTTAGAGGAGGGCTTTCTCCCGCTGCCCCCAGGCGCTGGAGGGGCCTTCCTTCCTAGCAGCCCGTGCTTCCAGAATGGCCAGTCGCCCTTCTCTGATCCCTTCCCAGCCAGGTCTCAGACACCAGCCGTGCTGAGGGAAGGTTCAAACGGTACAGAGGCCTCCGACACAGGGAGGGACCCAGGAAGGAGGGCGGGGCAGGGCGGGGCTGGCCACAAACCCTCCAGTTATCAGCAGAAGGGCTGGAGGCACTGGGATGCTGGTGGGGCGTTTTAAGTGCTAAAGAGTACGCACACTTCCTTTGCAAGGGTCAGAAAGCCAACAGTACAAAGGAATGGGTGTCATACAGAATTTCAAGAGCCCATTTTGGGAAGGGAATCCTGACCTGGAACAATTGCAGTTCAGTAATACTGTCTAACCTAAGATATATTAAAGTAAAACTTAAGGAAAACGGGCACAGATTTCATTCTTTCCCCATACTTACAGATGGGATGGGCAGACACATACAACTGGTCACCTGCAAGAGAAGACATTTCAGAGTGAAGATGCTTGGATGCAACCGTGAGAATTACTTGCAAAAGTTCTGGAAAAGCAGGTCCACTCACGTTCGTGCTGCAGTTGCATCTCGAAGGTGGATGATCCTAAGGTAGGAGAGAAGAACAAACAAAGGGAGTGAGTGAGCGGCACATTTCTTTATTCCTGTGTAGACACCAGGGGTCCTCAAAAAGTTCATGAAAAATGCTCATTATGAGAAGACTACGTCTGCTTTTCATGAACTTGTTGATGTCCCCTCCTGTTACCATCCGCCACGCCTCCTTGCAGCCCACCTGCAGATTGCGGATAAGGAAGTCCACATCGCTGATCACCAACCGCCCTGGACACCCCTGGCTGGCCACAGAGCAGAGCAGGAGGGTGGAAGCGAGGCCCACAGCCAGAAGCATCTTGACACAGGGCTTGAGCTCGTCCTGCAGGCACCTCCCAAACCTGCCTTATTTAAAGCCCCTCGGCACACGTGGAAAAAAAATACCCTGACATCAAACTGATACCAAAAACCCACTTTTTCTCTGTAATGTGGGGCCACTTAATATTGAAAAAAAAAAAATCATATTGAGTCACCTGACCAAAGTTCCCTTGCCGGGAACTGTCATTCCTCAGAAAAGATGCTTTGTACCAGGTTAGGGGCTGAGACACTGAAGGAGCAGTTAAAGAGCTGATACCCGTGCGCGCTTACACACGTGTGTGTGCTGGAGGGAGGGGCTGCGCTGTGAGGGTCCATGAGGCCGGGGGTCTGGATGAAGCAGCCAGGTCATGGTGTACCAGGGAAGTGAAGGCTCGAGTGTGGGGGAGGACACGAGAGATCACCAAGCACCTCCTCTATCTTTCAGGGTTTCCTGTTAATAATTGCAACCTCAGGGTTTCTGTATTTTGTTCTCAACATCTGAACAATGAGGAACAAATTTCATTTCATGTACATGCATCCAGGAGGTGTCCTTGCAAATGTCTTAAAGAGGCAGTCTTGAACTAAACACCCCAGAGAGCAGTACCTGTGCTTCTCCACACTGGCCCCCTTGGTGCCTGTGGAGACCTGGGTCATGTCAGGTGAAGACTTGCTGCATGGAACCGGGCATCACACCCCAGTCCACCCATGTAAGCGTGTTCTCTAAATCCACGTGCCACACAAAGGAGCCACGTGCCAAACAAAGGAGCCGCTGAATTACCAGTTCTTTGTCCTTCTGTTGACTTATTTTGTTTGGTAGGCAATATACACAGAGAGAGACAGGCAGATTTTCCATCCACTGGTTCACCCTCCAAGTGCCTGCAACAGCTGAGGCTGGGTCAGTCTGAAGCCAGGTGCCAGGAACTCAATCCAGGTCTCCTTTGTGGATGAAAGGGACCCACGTGCTTGAGCCATCTGCTGTATCTCCCGGGGTATATGTTAGCAGGGACCTGCAACCGGAAGGTGGTTGGGTAGTCAAGCACAGGCAGTGTAATACAGTGTCCCGAGGGGTCCTAACTACATTGGCAAACGTCCATGCCCAGCCAGCAAGTGCCCACATCTCATCCCTAGGAGCCAGACAGTGGCCTCACTGGACATGGGAGGTAAGAACCTTAACAACCCTCATTGTTCTACAGATGGGGAAACTGAGGCACAGACAGAACAAGTAATTTGCCCACAGCCATACAACCAGGAAACCTCAGGCTCTGTGTTCAAACCCAGCCTGGGGCCAGCGTGCAGCCCCAGCCCTCCAGGCCTCCTGCCTTTGTGCGTTTCCTACCTGCCTCACCATCCAGGACAGCAGCTCTGAGTTGCTCAGGACCGATCCAGTTCTGTGTGCTCCCTGCTCTGTGCAGTTGTCGCTGACCCCTAGTGGAATTCAAACACTCATATGAGATGCGCTTCTTGGTCTGGGAAGGCACGGCTACTGCAGCAGTGAACAGTTTCAGGTCTGGTTTTGGAAGGCATGCAGGTAAGGGCTGGGTGGGTCTCTGGTATCAACCTTTGAACCTGAGTGGCTGGGGGGGCAGATGCCAAGATGGCCTCCGCCCTGCCAGTTCTGTTCTCCCCACAGTGCCTGCCCCTGGGGGAAGGGCTGTGTTGGTGGCAAATGTAGTCAAGACAAAATGCCCTTCAGCAAAATCTCCCACATCATCTTACTGCTGTGACCTGCGTGCCAGACCCCTGGAAGAGACCTGCATTCTCCCAGCCGGGGCAGACACTCTCGGCCCACACCTTGCCCTCTTCTCACCGGCAGAAGTCTGAAACATCCATGAAACGTCCACTTGGTCTACCTCGTCTGCCACTCTAAGGGGTCATGTGACATATCTTGGTCAATGTCACATATGAGGAATTTTTGGCTTTTCTCGTAATAGGTGAAAAATATGGCTGAAACCTGCCCTTCCTCCTTTATTGTAGTTGGCAGTGGGGAGAGGTGACAGGAGCTTCCACAGCAGCTGCCTGTGAGGGGACAAGCCACAGTTATGGCAATAGCAACACTATCATTTACCATGGATGGACAATAAGCATAAAAACTAGAAAACACAAAACCGTGGGAACGATGACCATGATTCTACGACTGGCAGGTCTCACAGCGTGCTGAAGAACATGACTGCTAAGGTCCATCTTTCTGATTAAAGGAACAGTTTTTTTTTTCCTTTGGAGAGCATGACATGTAGCATTTCTGTCAACATTACAGGAGGAGGAAGGAGGCCAGCAGAGGCCATTGTGCTGCCCCGCTGTGGGGTATGACTGTGTAACATGGTCTCGCATTGTGCCATGTGCACCTGCCACACAGCAGTGACCAGGATGCTGGTGGATGTGAGCCCTGCCTCAGTTCTTCCCAGAACACGAATCTGAACAGTGGTACAGAACATTAGCCCTGGAGCCCCAGACTGCCAGGCTGCAAATCCTGCCTCTGTTCACCCACGGCTCTGGCCTGCATCTGTGGCTTATGAGCAGGAATCAGGACTGATGTGCTTGCAAGGACTAGAAGGAGGGGTTACCCAGTGTCTGACCTGGGCAGAGGAACCCAGGCCCACCCCCTGCTGGAAGCAGTCGGAACAAAGCAATGTGGGTTGCAGATCAACAAGCGTCAAGCCACACTTCCCAGATTGGGTCCAATATGGGTCCAGGCAGCCCATAGCTTTGCAGTCTGACCATCCGCAAGAGAGGGGGCCTCACACAATGTCTTGGAAGATCACCGTTCATGCCCAGGGCTGGAGGGCAGGGCCCAGAGTAGGTGGCTTAGGCATCTCTCCTTCCATTGCTCACCGGGGCTCGGGCCTTTGTACAGGGGAGAACTGTCTGTGAGACAGAGGTGGCCAGGTGTCCCAAGTAGTGGCTCCACTGTCTGCTGTGGCTTTGCATGGAGTGAAGGCACTCAGCCCCTGAGAGGTCCTGCAGTCAGAGATCTGTCAGGAGGGCACTTGCTGAAAGCACAAAGAGAATGTGTGAGCCCACCTCCCTCTCCCTGAGGCCATGTCCTGGCCCAGCCAGCAGGCCTGGCATCACTCCCCTCTCTGATGGGTGACTGTGACCCCCAGGATTCTACAGGCAGCCTCTGGGACTTTCCACATGCACTGTCCACACCCTGCCCAACAAAAAAGGAATGAGGGTCCTTCACCAGCCCTCCTGCATAGAAGGATGGGCAAGTCCCAGCTGGGTGTTTCTCAGGCGTGAACCTTGTCATGTCACTTTGGAAATTTGGTCTGCTCTAGTCCAGGGTCTCCCATGTTCCAGTTTCCCCTCACTGGCCAGCTGCAAGGCATATGCTCTTAGTGCTCAGGGGTTACTGATGTGCCAATAGCTGGCAGACACCTTTAATTTTGCAAGCGCAAATGAACGTTATTCATGCATACTGCCCACAAGATGATCAGCAAACCAAAGCAGGTCGAGCATTCAAAAAATGTGGATGGGCCAGCCAGGCGCTGGAAGAACGACTAAGCCAGGATGAAACTGTGGCGTCTGTGTGTGGCATGTGGTTGGACCTGCACAGGGGAGGTCCTTTCGCAGGAGAAGGGGGAGCAGGTGTAGTGTGCAGCGCCCACCTCCGTGAAGGCAGGCACCAGGGAGGGCTCAGACATCCCTTCGCTGGTCCCCACCCACAGAACCGAGAGTAGCTGTGTGGCAACTTGGCCACTCAAGACCTCACTGAAGGAACAGATGTTTATCGGGGCTCCGCCTGCAGCCCGTGAGCCTGAGCGCCAGCCTCTAGGATTTCCTTTCATTATCAAAGTGCAAGTATGCAAATGACCTCCTGCCAGTCTCAGAAAGGACTTACTCACCTACTTTAAAGATCAAGGAGGTTGGAGAATGAGATACACATCAGGAGTCAAACTTGATAAGGGATTTCACCATAAATGACAGAATAATCAGCTATTTATGTTGTTCCAAAGATAAAGCCTGACGTTTTTATTTTGCGAAGAGCCTCGTGTGTCATGGATAACTCCTCCAGGAATAAGACAAGCATTTGTTCTAGGAAGCTGCCAGACTTCTAAGTAAAACCCACTCCGTGCTTCACACTAAACAGCTAAGAGATAGCTAGCTATTAGAATCCTCAGCGTCTTGATAAACCGTTATTTATACATCATTGTTTTCCCATCCCAGGGTGAAAGATCAGGACCCAGGCATACTTGCCCCCAGAGCGCAATGCCCAGGGCCTTGCCCCTCAGATCCCCCCAAACAGACCCTCGGTCCACTCCCACTGACATGGGGTCCATGCTCTCCTTCAGCTCCACACACTTGCCCTGAGCTCTGAGACAGGGTGCTTTGCTGTCCTTCCGCACGCCCGTGTTCTCTGCGGGCTCCTCGGAGGCAGCCGCATTATCAGTACACTAAGCTCTCCTTGCAAACAGAGTGTCCATGTCTGTGACCACACAGCCCTGCTCCCTGGACCCTGCTCCTGTGTGCCCTGCCCCCAGTTGAAAACTTTGACACTCAAGAAAGCAGAATTTCCAATTGGTGGGGAAAAAGAGATTTATTCAATTATTACATCAACCAACCACAGCGGGGGGCGGGGGGAGAATTTCAACTGCTTTCTATCCTCAGATAGCCTCCAGAAAGATTAAAGACATTAGAAATATTTCTAGATAAGCATTTCTGTATCCTAGCTAGATTATACACAAAATGCTGTATTGCACTTTCAACAATCTTTATTAACCCCGGTGAAGGGGTGACAGGGCAGGCATTGGGTGCAGTAATTAAGATGTGGCTTGGGACATGTGCATCGCAGACTGGAGCATCTGGGTTCAAGTCCTGGCTCCACTTTGAACTCCAGCCTTGCACCCTGGAAAGTTAACAGATGACAGCTCAATACTTGAGTCCCTGCCACCCACGTGGGACACCTGGATGGAGGTGTTGAGGGAATTTAGGGAGTGAACCAATGGATGGAAGACCGATCTTTTTAATTCTGTGTGTGTGTGTGTCTGTCTGTCTGTCTATGTG